ATGTTCTTCTGCATTTATTTTTGGGGGCTTGGTATTAATTGAAAAGTTTCTCAAATGCTAGCAACCTTTTTTTGGAAGTAAATCGGGAAAAGGACCCTAGAATTGTCACAAGTTTCTTACAACATTCACTTTAATGTCAAAACTTTTTGAGTAATCACTTCAATGCCACTTAAGTAATAAAACGATCACTTCAATGCCATCACCGATTTGGGTTGTCAAAAAATCTGATGTGTATATATATTAATATTTCCCGACTAACGTGGCTCGTCGGCAAAGTGAAGTCAGCAATTATAGTGTGAAACGACATCCTTTCAGCCATTCGTTTTCCCCAAATTAACGAATTAGGGCAAAATTAAGTGATCGCTCGAAAAGTTTAAGCACTGTAATGAACGCCGTACTAAAGTTATATCATTTCTAGTGTCATTTTTCCGGAGTAGATCTATAAAACAATACAATTCGGTGCGCATACACACATATAAAAAGACGGTGTGGAAAATTGAAACTGTTCATCGAATGCACGACACTGAATCACTCATCATAAGATTTTATTTCAAGCCTGTGCTGTATTTGCGCATATCACATCATCATGCGTTCGTAGCTTTTATTTGGTTCCTCTTGTTGGCTCTCCTGACGCCCACCGGAGGAAACTCGCAAACACATAGATGGAGCCCCTCCGAACATCCGCAATACGTTGGACTTGCACAATCTCGGACAGTTTCGCACATCTCGTCCTTCAACCCTCATCTCCCAACCTGCCAATTCATATTTCTCTTCACAATCAACATGCACTGAAACTTATCCTTTAGAGAGAGAGAGGGAGAGAGAGAGAGATACCGGATGCAAATACGCTTGGAACAGAGCTTGACCATCGCTTTCCCTGCTGATGAAAATGCAGCGCCCGAGGCTCTTCCTGGTACGTACTCTGGTTTGTGCTTTGATGTAGTATTCAGTTGTTGTGTTTGGTCCTTTGCTTTCACGGCAATATTTATATAGGCTTAAGAACTCCCACGCGAATCCAAATTTTCTTGACAAGTAAATGACTTTTGTCTTGAACTAGTGCTAGGCTAAATCTTCATAATTGAATTTCCATAAAATAAACATCGAGAGGATTTCTTGCAACAATTCCAGATATTATTAATGGAATATGGGAGTAGCACAATTATTGATCTTCCATAAAAAAACGTGAACACCAATTGTTTTCTGATTAATTCGTGGAGAGGGAATTAAATCTTATTTAGGTTAAAAAAATTAGTAGGGCAATGAATGACTTCATTACCGAATTAAGTGCATCAACATATTGAACTATACTAAAGTCACGATCTTTTTTTACCCATTTAGATTTGGGGCAAGTTACTAAATGGAGATTATAAAGCATCGGTTTCTTTCCAGTACATGAACCCAATTTCAGTTTTCTGTATGTCATAAAGTACAACAAAGTACTCAAGCAGGTATGCGAATGCTAAAATATTATATTTCTGGTTAAGAGATTAAAAAAGAAAATGCCTCATATAATGCCTTTTCAAGCTTAAATTGAGATTTTATCTCTGCCTATTTTAATAGAACTAAAGTTTTTAAGATCTTACTTGTCAGGAAATGTGAAAACTATGTGATTGACTATAGAATTTAAAATCGGGATAATTATAAAAAAGAAGTCATACATTTATTACACGGATGCCACTTCAGTCTTAAACTTTTAATTTTGTCTATTAAAACATATTTTGATGATAGTCCAATATAATCGTTCTGGCCAATGTTGGCTGAAAGTGCTAAGGTGGACAATTTTTACAACTTTTTAAAAAATTTCTGAATTTTTTATATATTTTTTCTTTTATTTTTCTTTGTGGCAAGCAAGGAAAAAATAAAATAAAATAAAAATTCAGAATGAATTTTTAAAAAATTGCAAAAATTATCAACGTCAATGCCGGCCTTGCCATATAGGACGATTAGTGTTCACATCAGCGATTTCCAGCCAAAATTGGCCAGAATGACTACATTAACTTAAGAGTAAGTTTGCCAAATTGAAGCATTTAAGATTAAATTGGCATCCATCTGTATAATTGGTTTATGATTTTTTTTAATAATTTTCTTGATTAAAATCTAAACATGCCACCCCCAATATGCATCTCAATGATCCGTGTGGTAAGTATCGGTGTGAGCAATTTCTACATACCTTTGCAAATTCAAAGAATTCACTATGTTTTGTTCAATAACTTTAATCAAGATAAATACACCACAAGTGTCATAACTTTCATACGGCGATCACTTGAGTACCATAACTGTTTTTTTCGACCACTTCAATGCAATAACTTCTAAAAAATGTTCACTTAAGTGCCATAACTTTCAATTAATCACTTAGTATAATAACTTTTTAACAGTGTTCCAAAGTGCTAGAAATGTGACGTGGCATGGCACTCATAGTGAACATTTTTAAAAATTTATGACACTCAAGTGATCGATTAAAAAATTATATGGCACTCTAGTAATAGAAAAAAAAGTTACAGCACTTGTGAGCTCTGTACATAAATTATGGCACTCAAATTATCGAAAAAAAATTATGACCCTTGAGTGAGGGTCATACAAAAGTTATGGCACTTGTGATGTCCTTTTCCAAATTTTAATCTAAATCCCCTCCCATCGTGCTCGTTCACTACTTACTAAAGAAGTGTATATGCAATCTTCTCCCAACTATGACTGTCCTCTTGATTAGGTCTATCATCTCCAAAGATGCTTGTATGGATTAAATTATGTATCGCGTGCATGGTTTATCAAATTCTGTATTGTGTGCTATTTGGGTTCCAATCCGGCTCTCATGATGAAGCATTATTTGTTCATAAGAGCAATCAAGGTATTTTTTTTTTCGGCAAAATGACACCAGAAGTGCCATAAGTTGTGTACGGAGATCACTTTGGTGCCATAACTTTTTTTCGGATCACTTTGGTGCCAAATCGGAGGAAAATAGATTACTTTAGTGACTCCGGCCAAAAAACTGATGTGGCATTTATATTTAAAAAAATTGGTCTAACTTGTACACGTGAAAATTATGTGGCTTTTTTTCGAAGTTTTTAATCTTTTTTTTTCCTAACTTTTTCCCGGTCGTCATTCCGGCAACCGGCCAAAGGGGAGGGCCGGCGAGGACGACCTCGCCCAGCAAAGGTGAGGCCGACCTCGCAGTCGCCTGGGTCGCGACGGCGAGGTCTCCCCTCGCCCGGCAAAGGCGAGGCCAACCTCGCCGCAGGTGTCGCCTCGCCAAAGAAGGCGATCGCTTCCTACTCTCGGCGAGGGTCGCTGCCCGGCCGGGCCGGCGACCCTTGCCGACTAGGGGTGAGCGGTTCTCGTCCTGGTCCGGTTCAACGTGGAACCGGGAACCGATCAGAGAACCGGTTCCCAATTTTGGGAACCGCGGACCGGACCGGTTGGTTCTAGATCTGGAACCCACTGGCCGGATCGCCTAGCCGGTCGTCAGTTCGGTCCGGTCCAATGGAACCGGGTTACTTAGGAGTTTAGGGTTTTTTTTGTCAAACACTTAAGGTTTTGTTCACATTTTACTAATTTTTGTTAATAAATTTATGTTAATGAAGTTCACTTAGGGTTTAATTCACATTTTACTATTTTTTATCAATGAATTTATGATAATGAAGTTCACTTAGAGTTTAGTTCACATTTTATTAATTTTTAAAGAAAAATAACAAAATATATATTAAATAGTCGGTCCGGTCCGTCAGATCAGGTTTCTCCCCTTCGCAAGGCAGGACACGCCCCCGGCGCTGGTTCCGCTTTTAGGGAGCCGTGGCAAACCGAGGTCTCGAAAACTAGGACTCAAACTCATTGGTCCAGTGGGCCCCGGTTTGGGCGGTCAAATTGACCCTTGCCGACCACTCCGCCCACCACCGCTAGCCCTTCCCGGCGGTGGTGGGGTGGCAGCAACAACGGCGAGGGAGCCCTCGCCGCTGTTGCAATGTTTGATGTTTTTTTTTTAATATAAATAAATATAATATAAATTTTATTTTTCTAAAAAAGTACACGTCAGCGGACTAAACGGCGTCGTTTTTTGTTTTTAATGCTGACTGGACCTCTCCGGCGAGCCATGTCAGCGCCACGTAGGATTTTCGGCAAGTCATGTCAGCATTGGCACTAAAGTGATCGTTTTTCAAAAAGGTTGGCACCAAAGTGATCCGAAGAAAAGTTATAGCATCAAAGTGACCTCCGTACATAAGTTATGGCATTAATAGTATCCTTTTGCCTTTTTTTTTCTATATGTGGTTGACATGATCATTACAGGAGATGACATCAGGGAATAATTAATTTTAAAAAATATCTCAATCTTTCATTATGAGATGCTTGCTTCGTTATTTCTAGGACAAAGAAGTTTCTTTTGGCTCGAATGGCTATTATCTCACTCTAGCCAAATATACCTCCAATCTTATCTCTCATGCAGGTTCGACTGATGATAGGATAAATTCTACCTCGATAGAGAGCCCATTGCCAAGTTGGACCTCCTGGATGGCACCCCTTGCAAGATACTAAACTTTATCAATAGTTGGTCTACAGTCTAGTATATTTAATTATTGCCGGTCATTGACGTAGCCTTTGTAGCTCATACAATGAGTCAGATTGTGTTTGCTTCGCGTTCTATTACTATGCTATTGTACTACATTTTCTGCCTTATGTCAAGGGGACATTATTTTAGGGTATTCACTATTCTTCCAACTCCAGCCTGGAGTTAAAAGCCTACTTGGATGCAGACAATGTCGAGGGTATCGATGATCGCATTTCTCCAGCAAAGTTTTGTGGTGTTCTTGTCAATTCTTCCATTTATTGGCATAGTAAGAAGCAAACCATTAACTCACATTCCAGCTATGAATCCGAGTATTGCGTTTTGGCTGATACTAGCGTTGAACTCGTCTAATTTGTGTGGGCTAATGGAAGACATGGGAGTCCCTCGGAATTAACCCGCTATGATTTGGTGCAATAGCAAAACAGCCATTCAGATCGCCAGAGAGTATGGAAATATTCAACTATTCAATTGAACGCAAGACACGTTAAGTTATTTGTCGCAATATTATTATTGCAAACTAGTGCTATATTTGCGGATCACATCAAGGACTAATAGGTTTTATTCGGTTCCTCTTGTTGGCTCCCGTAGCACCCTGGGGAGGATAATGGCAAAAACAGAGGTTGAGGGGCGTAGGACAGCTGCAGTATCTCGGATCTCCACAGTCTCGCACAGTTTTGCACGGATGACTGACATCTCTTGCTTCCACACTCATCTCCCAACCTGCCAATCAACGATCTTTTCACAGTTTACAGTCACTGAAACTAATCCCTAATTCCTGCAATACACACACACACACACACACACACACACACATAGAGAGAGAGAGAGAGAGAGAGAGAGAGAGAGATACCGAATGCAAGTATGAGAAGGACAAGTAGCACAATAGACTTTGAACAAAACTTCTCCATCACTCTCTGCTGCTGAAACTGCTACAGTCAATAAGTCTCTGCTAGTATGCACTCTTTTTTATGCTTTGGTGCAGCATCTATATGTGGTGTTGGTTGTCTCGCAATGAGTTATATATAGGCTAAGGTACTCACATACGAAATCAATTTTCTTAGGAAATGAATTAAATATTTGTCGACTTAAGGCCTGGTAAAAAATCTCCATCATTGTATTTCCATAAAGTTAAGATCAACAGGATTTCATAATGGTAGTAACACAATTAATCAATCTTCCATAATGGTGAACATTAATTATTTTTACATTATTGTGTATAACATCGAGGAAATAATATCTTATATATGGCAAAGGTTTTAGTAGGGCAATGAATGAGTACACTAGCAAATTAAATGCATGAATATATGATGACACCTCAATTTTTAGCAACTCATTTAGTCATTTACTACATAAGAAAAATTAGGGATCGACTCTGACCCCTAAACAAAAATATCATTAGTTCACACTGGCATTATAGGCGTTAGTAACACCTTCATTTAATAGACATAGGTCCGCTTAAATTGCACTCAAGTCGGTCCGTTCGTGAATGACATTGGCTCAGTCGGGATTGCATTGTAATCAACCTAATATTTTCCTTTTACTTGAATAAAGATTGCATGCTGTGATCATGGGGAGCTAAAAGGAAACAAATCTGATGGGGAGCTAAAGGAAAAGCCTGTGCAGATTCGGTCAACATGAAGGGATCAAGAAGCTTGCTTGACCATTGCAAGATTATTGGGCGCAACAAAGAGGAAACTGTGGGCGACCCTTGGCAAGAAAAGAGTAATAGGCGCATGATCGGGGGCAATCGGAAATTAATCTGGCCGTGAGATTGCAGAGTTATTGGGTTGTTCTGCCAATGGGAAAAGTCTCAGAAAAGTCTCGAACCATTTGCATTTGTGACAATTTAATCATAAACCTTTATTTTGTACCAATTTAGTCCTAAATATTTTGTCTTTGTGCCAATGCAGTCCTTCTGGCTAATTTTGGCAAGATATTACTGACGTGAACACCGGGTGGCCTACATGGTACCGCCAGCGCTAACATGAAAAATTTTAAATACTATTTTAATATTTTTTAGATTTTCTTAACTATTTTTCTGATTTTTTTTATTTTTTTCCTTCTTTTTTTTTTAACCTTTCTTTAACATTTGGCCGGTGACTAGCCACTAGCCATGGCTGTGCTGGCCTCGCCTGGGCGAGGCTGCCATCGCTTGCCACAGGCAAGGCCAAGACAACCCTCACCAAATTTGGCCTGGGCAAAGCCAACCCTCGCCTATGGCAGGCAACGGCAGCCTCGCTTGGCCATCGCCCGGTCACAGACCAAAAGAAGAAGAAAGGAAAAAAAAAAAAAAGAGGGAAAAAAATAAAAGAAATAAATAAATAAAATATTATTAAAAATTGTCCACATCAACGCCAGTGGTGCCACGCAGGCTGGCCGACCTCCATGTCAGCAATATTCGGCCAAAATTAGCCGGAAGGATTGAATTAGCACAAAGACAAAAAGTTTAGGACTAAATTGGCACAAAAAAAGGTTTATGACTAAATTGACACAAATGCAAAAGATTTAAGACTTTTTTTATGTAGCCCAAAGTTGACTACTCAAACAATAAGATCGGGAGAGTGACTTACACACACAGAAACTCCGTCACAAAAACGTGCATAAATTTCAATTCTGCGCTAGTTCGGGAAAATGGTCATAACTTTCTCGATACAGATCGGATTAACCTGATTCCAAAGCCAAAAGTACGAAAGATCCTGGATCTACAACTTTTATGTTTTGAGTTTTCTCATATAAGCACTATGAAGCTGTCAATTTCGGAAGGAAGTGGACGGTCGTGACTTGTGAGAATACGAAAAAAAGATAGGAACTTCAATGGTTGCTCTTCTAAGCCTCCAAGGAAGTTGAAATGGCATCAATTCTTCTGCAATGATAGTTGCAACTCTTCAAGGATGCAGACTTTAGAAACTCCGACTCTTTAAGGATTGAGTGAAAACTCTTCTAGGTTTCCAAGGGGATTGAACTCTTCAAGATTCAAGAGAATTGCACTAAACAAATTTCATTAATCAAATTTAGTCTGCTTTCTACATAAACTCAATGGCCTTTTATACAAAAACAAAAGAAAAGCAAATGTCTAAAGTCAAATTTAGAAACTAAAAATTATTAAAACACATAAAAACTAGAGCTATTAAAAGTACAATATTTATAATGCTTGTGGCCATCTCGATGAGTCTTGTTGCAAGCTCTCAATGTATCGGTAATGACAAAGCATTCATGACAAAGTCAAAAATGAGACTTTTCACTTATTGACGAGGTCGTTAAATATTAGGCTTATCGATGAGAGTCGTCAAGCTTGAAAGCGTGCTGACCTTTTCGGTTGAATGAGTTGGTCTTGAATATGGGCTGTATCATTTTCTAACACTTTTCCCTCTTGCCAATATAATATGACTAAATGTGCATTTTGAAAATCGATCCATTTTTGCAAAGTTCATAATCAAATTTATCTTATAGGTGGTCAACTTTAAGCTAGACTGTTTATTAAAACTCTAGAAGATATGGCTCAATTGTAATTTTTTGTCAAACTAATTGCGCACGTTAAAATATTATATTTCTCGTTAAAATTTTAAGAAAAAAAACGGATGTTCGTGGTTATTAAAAGTCGAATTTAACTATTTATGCGCACAAAGATTTCTCAAAAGCTCTCAGTTTCAATCTTCCAGAATTCTAACGCTCGATCTCTATTTAACTCTTGACGATGCATGCACTCTCGTCATGTGGCGGAGTCTGCAATTTATAATCTCCACACTTGCTTTTTATTGTTTTTCACGATAGATATTGAAGAAGATACACCCTTTTGGAATTGAGCTGTGGCAATGGAGGTGGCGACGAAGCAGTGGGAAAGAGAGAGAGCCAGACATGGGATTAAGGTTGTTTGTGTTGGTTGACGACTCCCACGTTTGTTAAAAGATCTTTGCAAAGGACGAGTATAACTCGGTGGTGTATATATGTTTATAGTTATATCACGTGCTATTTTCCAGACTATTATGTGAGACTCACATGATCCAACGGTGCATGTGAATTAGGCTCACTAAATGATATATAATCAATAATCTAGTGTGCTTTGTTCGCGCGCGTGAGAGAGAGAGAGATTGAATGGATGACACTGGGATTTGTCATAAGATTTTATTTCAAGCTTGTGCTGTATATGCATACATCAAATCATGGGATGATTGGTTTCATTTGGTTCATGTTGTTGGCTCCCAAGAAACCCAGTGGAGTGTCACCCTTGCAAACACATCTGCCGAGGAGGAGGGGACAGTCGCAATTGTTTGGATCAGGACATTCTTGAATAACCTTGCAAGGGTGATAGCGAACCACATGTCGCGCTTCAACCCTCTTCTACAAACCTTTCAACGAATAACATTTTTCACAGTTAACAATAAACTCAAACGCATTCACTAATTCATGCAATACAAAACAATCTATATGAGAGAGAGATACCGCACGCAAATATGAGAAGCGCAAGTAGTACAATACACTCGGAGGAAAACTTCGCCATCACTCTCTTTTGGTATGTAATCTTGTTTATGCTTCAATGTAGTATATGTATGTTGTGTTGGGTCTATTGTTTCGCAATGAGTTATATAATAGGAAAAAGGATTCACATGCGAATCCATATTTTTTGACAAGTAAATTAATTTTTGTTTAAATTTAATGCCCAGTAAAAATATGTCAATGCTAGCCTAGATCTCCGTCATTGAGTTTCCATAAAATTAACATCAGAAGGATTTCGTTCAATTAAGAACTTCCACTGCTTTTATATCTATTCGCCCTGCACCAAAGGAAGAAAATCTTCTAGGATGGAATAGGGCATTGAATGACTCCACTAACAAATGAAATGCTTCTACATGTTGAATTGACTCATGCTTATGTCTTCACACGAGGAAAGTACCAAAAAAAACCTAAAGTTATTGCATTGATATCAATTCAGTTTTAAACATTTCAATTGGACCAATTTAGTTTTAAACATTTTGCATTTGTGCCAATTGAGTTCATTCGATAAATTTTGATCGGAAATCGTTGACGTAAATGCCAACCGTCTTATGTGGCGCTGGCATGGATATTTTTAATAATATTTTAGTAATATTTTAAATATTCTTTTCTTTTATTTTTTATTTTTTTTCCTTTCATTTGGCCAGCGACCCTCGCCAAGGCCCTCACCCAGAGCTAGCGGGCCTGCGAAGGTCGTGGGCAAGGCTCGCCCAAATCTGGTGAGGGGCATGACCATCGCTTGCCAAAATGAAAGGTTAAAAAACTAAAAATTAATTTAAAATTTAATTTTAAAAAAAAACTATTAAAATTGTCCACGTCAACATCTGTCGTGCCATATAGGAAAGCTAACGTCCACGTCAGTGATTTCCAGCCAAAATTAGCCGAATGGACTCAATTGACACAATCAAAAGTTTTAGGACTCGATTGGCCAAATTGAAAGATTTTGAACTAAATTAGTAACAATGCAATAGGTTTAGGATTTTTTTCGTACTTTCCCCGTCTTTACATCATTTCTATGGCCAATTTCAGATATTTTTCTATGTCACAGATTACAGTGTAGATCGCAGCAATTGTTTCTCATTTGCATTATCCACATTAAGTAACAACAACGGTCCAATCAAGAATTTCTTGCCTAAACTCACGCACCCATTATGAGTCGTGTTATATGCTAATGGCGATGGTGGATTGCACTATGATCCATTAATTATAGGTGTATCTTTAATCATGCTCGTGCTAGTATATTCTCTCTTCTCTTTGTATATCCTTAGCCTCTATGAATTGTTTCCTTTTATCTCTGAAAGAATAAAGATAAATCTTGTTCTTATACTTACAAGGAGCTCCGGATAAATCTATCCTTGTAATTCAATTCATAGAAATTAGTGCAATGACTTACACAATACACACACTCCGATCCAAACCCGGGTCTATGGATCCCAAATAATCATATTCCTTTGATCATGTGGCACCCACACATGAGGCCCGTGCAATCCATCGTTGTGATGGAATTGACAAAAAATATCGTTTGAACGGCATATCTCTTTTGGAGGAAGCCTGTCTTACATACACCCAGTAAAATTCTTCGAAAATATATTTGATATACTACGTCTGATATTTGCAATATTAAAATATCGAGTGACGTGGCAAACTGTCATTATGATGTATTGAATATGATCCGCTTATCAAATGTCCACTTACAATATGGTACGTCACTAATGCCAAGAAGCGGTATGCATTGTTCTTTTCCTTTTTTTTTAGGCGTGCGTGCGTGAGACAGCATGTCAAAAAAATAAATAAATAAATGGTTTCGGTAGTATAGAACAACGAGCCTAACCGGGCATTTCATTTATTTCCAAATTAACATGTACACTTGTTAATTCTAAAAGAAAAAATTAAGGACACTGGCTTAATCCTATCTGACAATAGATGTGGACAAACATGATAAGGCACAAAAGCACTTTACTAAGTGGAGTGATTAAATTGAGATAAACTTGAATTTACTGGGGAATTTCACCATTTACGAAGCCCGTGCTCACTTTTTCCTTGAATTTCGAGGGTTATCTCCGAAAGCAGAATCGACAGTATCGAAGTCAAAACGCATGCATGCCGTGGAATTCAACGCATGTAAAACCAAACATGCTCGAATTAGCATTTAGACAAGCTTAGGTCATCAGCATGGCCAGAATTTTTTTAGTTTATAAAGACCACAGAAAATAGTTCCTCGAGCTTTTTTTTTTTTTTTTGAGTTTAATATAGCAAAATTTCTATTCAAGTAAGACATATAGTAGAAAAACTCTTAACATAATCATTTGTCGGCTGGGTTCACTCTCATGTGAAGAAAGCCTAATGAATTGCAAGCTCAAGATTTGAGCCCATATGATATTCATATGGAGAAATAGGGTTTTTCACTATTATTATGTTGTAGCCGTAAAAAGAACGTTTTTTGAGACGCAGTAATAAGAGAGAAAGAGAGAGCGGAAAATATAGGTTGAGGAAATACCTAATTTTCATCAAGCTACCATCGGAGGTCAATTCGTGGTCCGATTGAGCAGAAATTTTGTCAGCATGCTCTTGCCACATTCTTCTCGAATCTGATCGGTCTGATTCGGTTGATTTTCACTTGAAACTCCCTATGTCAGGTTTCTCGTGGGTTGAACCAAAAGTGCGTTTTTTGTGAGATTTATCATTTGTCTCTTATGAAGTTCATGTGTATTTACAAGAATTATGTATCTTGTGAAGTTTCTTGATGTCTTTGCTGTTATGTATCTCTAGTATTTACTAGAGAAAACTTTGTTCGCCCAGTTTTGAGTGACGAGTTTTTGGTGGACTCTGGTACCGTGGTTTTTTATCTCCTCACACCGAGGAGGTTTTCCACGTAAAAAATATTCGCATGCTTGGTATCTATATCTCTATATTATATTGTTTCTTATTAGGTTTGCGCAAGAGAGGGGATTATTTGTTTCGCTGCGCTAATCCGATATTATTCGGATTGTCATTGTTCTCCGAAGGTATTTGGCTGGCCAGAATTGGACACATAATCTAAACGTTATTCCATTAGAATAATGGGACAAGCTAGAGCTTGAAGCTTGGTGGATTAGGCGGTGGGAAGTCTTCGCCGCAGATGCATTTCCCGTCCACGCAGTGGTAAGGGAAGCCTTGGCACACTTGAGTGCAGTTGATCATGCGCGGACACCGGAAATCGCCTCTCGCTTCGACCGCCGGCATCATCGGACCATCCATGTATAGAATACCTGAAAAAATAAATTCGCAGAAAACTACGTGACGCCGTAGACGATAAAACCGTCTGAAACATAGATAGATTTAGATTAAGAAATTTGAGAAGCGTACCGAGTGCAAGAGCTGAGAGCACGACACAGAAAACAAGCTTGGACGAAGTAAGTTTCTCCATCTTTGGCCTCTGTGCTTGAATGGCAAAAGCGTTCAAGTGTTTTTTGCAGGATCTCTTAGATTTATAAAAGCATTGTCATAGGAAAACCCTATTAAATATGGCAATCGAGGTATATTAAGTTACCTAAAAAGTGAATCTCGTATTTATTTATTTTTTTGTCAGAAAATCTCATATTTATTTACTTGCAATAATTTCATGATTCGTTCAATTTGAGTAATTATGTAAAAGTGCTTGTTCTTTTTTTTTTCTTTTTCTTTTTTTGTCTGTGCTATTGTAACTCTCAACTCAATCTCAGATTTTTGTCAAGGCTCCCTTCCCAAGTAGGAAGGGTGACCACTGGAGTTCCCCAGTGGTTACGTAAAAGTGCTTGTTCTACAGAAGGAAAACTGTTTCGACCCAAAAAGAAAAAAAAAAACGAGAAGGAAAACTGCGGTGGCAACAATTAGATTTTTGTGATTAAATTGGGCTCCAATCAATTTAAAGAGCAGATGGATGTCTTCTACGGTAACACTGCTCACTCTTAGAAAAATTAGTGCCTATCAGAAGACTATACTTGCGGATTTAGCACCACCGTTTTCGAATCGTACATAAAAATTGCCTGTTTTGGCTTAAAATCATATTGAACAAATTAGAACGTTAAGATTTCACGCCACAAAAACCAAGGCAAAACAAGATGATCATCAATATAAAAGCGCATTCAACTCGAGCATTAAAATTGCAATACGGCATGTACATGTATTTTGGAGCGCCTTTTTGACGAGCTATGCATTCTGATATCGTTTCCATGAGAGGTTTAAACGAATGGTGCTTGAAAAAGGACATGGAATCTACCCAGCATGAATTCAGTTTCTTCTTAGCAATGCCCATTTTTCACTAGATCAGGGGGTGTTTGGTTCAGCATTTGAAAGGGTCTTTCGGCCTCGAAAGCCCCTTGGCCAAATGTTGAACCGTTTGGTTCAGCTTTTCGAATCCGAAAAGCCGAAAGTTAGCATTTGGAATGCTTTGGAATGCTGAAGCCTATTTTTCACTTCCCAAATTGCCCTCACTCAAATTTCAATATTCCGGTTTTGTCCATGTTACTGTTCATCTTCCTCACCGCGAGGGTGGCCGGCGAGGGCGGATCTGGCCGGCGAGAGCGGATCTAGGCGGCGAAGGGCCAGTGAGGGGCCAGCGAGGGCGGATCTGAGCCGACGAGGGGCCGGCGAGGTCGCCCGACCCAGGCGACGGCCGCCTAGGTGGCGCGAACCCAGGCGACGGCCGCCTAGGTGGCGCGAACCCAGGCAACCGTCGCCTGGGTCGCGCGACCTCAGGCGACCGTCGCCTAGGCAGCGCCGCCTGGGTTCACACGACCCAGGTGACGGCCTCCTGGGTCGCGCGACCCAGGCGACGGCGCCTGGGCGGTCGCTCGACCCCAGGCGGCCATTACCTGGGTCAGGCGACCTCGCCGGCACTTCGCCGGCCACCCTCGCCGGTGAAGAAGATGAACAGTATAAGGGCAAAACCGGAATATAAAAAATATAAGTTGCCAAAGCCCTTTGCAAAAAAAAATTTATCAAACACTACTTAGGTCAAAATAGCTTTACAATTTTTTTTTTTACCAAACACCACTTACATTTTCCCAAGTGACTTTCACCTAAAGGTATTTGCATTCCCCCAAATAGCATTTGAAAAGCCGAACCAAACGGCCCCAATCCAAAAACGAATTTGAAATAAGCAAAGACAGAGAAGATTAATGCATATTGTGAAGGCATAAACTTTCTCTGGTCTCTTGGGGGATGAAGTTCCAATGGAAGAGAATTTGATCCCCTGAATGCCATTGTTTACACTTATCTTGATTACACAAAGTGACCGATTAAAGCCAGGGAGCTTCAATTATTTAGACTTGAATTAGAGAAACAAAATGACTGACTAAAAGCAGAGAGCTTCAACTGTTTTGGTTTCAAAAAAGAAGAAAGAACAACTATTTACATTTGATTAAGCCAGCTGATGTGTGTGTCCCAACATATCCATGGCAAGGCGCGTTATAATATCAAACATCATCAAGCAGAGGATATCTCAATTTTAAAAGGATTCCTAAGGAACATGACATTGGCACAAAACAATCATATAATTTACATATCAGAATGAATGTGCATACAAACAATGTAAAGACAATGACAGAGACAAGCATACGAGGACTTCGAAAGATACAATCGCTCTGAGCAGCACATCTGAACTAAAGACATGCCCTCTTAAATAAATCAATAATTGAACATCATGGAACTGGAAATTAGCTTCTTTCTGAACACGTACAGAACAAATACCAAAAAAATGTTCCATGATAATGTACATAAACCTGGAATGCCTCACATCTTCATTGGATATACAGGTGCCTGCCAAGATGGAAATCCAACTTTGTGGGCCACCTCAAGGTGCATCTCTGAATGGATCATCCACCTCACTGAAAATGTAACCAACAAGGCATAAATGACAGCTCACATCCGCCATGAAGAGGGAGAAGGCAGAAAGTATCGTTAATCACTTAAATTAAGCTTCGTTGGTTTTGCGGAAACAATTTTGGAAATATTTTCCTAATTTTTGTCGTTTATATTGCATATGAAAATAAGTTACTGGAAAAGGTTATCATGATCAACAAAAATGTTTATCCATAGATAGTTGTCGACAATAACAACATTTTCCGTTGATTCATTGTCCTAAGCGATATAAACAATAAAAATTAGGGAAAAAATACTGATTTTCAGCTAAACAAAAGAAACCTAATAACCAACACAACTTAAAACTATCATCAGGTTGGGCTCTCCCATTTAGCAGGAAACTATCCTCATCATACAGTAAACAATCATAACCATCTTCAATTGTTACCAGAGCCCTGATAGCAAGACATTTACAATAAAATAGACAAAAGAAAAGAAACCTCATGCTCAGGTTTCCATAAATACAATCCGGAACCAAACCTAAAGTTCTCCTTTCACCAACCGTTTTATAGTATAAACCTGTCAAGTGAATAAAGAGATTGAAGAAACTTTAACAGAAAGGAATGAAAGCAATTTCCATTAATTCACCTTAGTTTTGTTAATCATTCAAATAATTTAGCTGTCAAAGGGAGAAAATTATGATAAGATCATATCAGCTTGGCTTATGCTTGCTACTAAATACAGTCGAAAAATTTTATCGTTTAAACATTCAGCATTTGGTCTTGTTAGTGAATGTATCTATCGCCTTCAAGATGTGATCAGAGCCTTGTACTTTCGAGTATGTAATACCTGATCAACATTAAGCTTAACAACTCTCTTCACAATTTGACTAGAAGTATCAGGTAGAGTACCTGCCTTGGAAGTTCCAGGTAATGGTACTCCTGTCTATGAGATGTATCATCATAAGCACAAGCTGTTGAACCGCTATAATGGAGGCTCCTTTTCATTGAAATCCTTATCACAGGATATGGAACTCAGTGACTCTTCACTCACTTTTTTTAACTTCCCAACCAACATTGGGTCATCCTTTGTCAAAAAGTATAGCTGCCAATAATACTGAACAGTGAATTAAGTTGTAATAGTAATTACAGTTTCACGGACAAATTGCAAACTAGAGAAACTCAACTATATGCATCTTTTTGGCAATTCCTTTCTAAGCACAAAAGTGCAAATGGAAGCAATATATCAAACGAACCTGCTCATACAGAGATAAACTTACCTGCATATACACAATGATCTTGAACTTTAAAAAAAATTACAAACAATTGATAATTGATTTTTCATGACGTCATTTGAGATTATATCCCAGGGCTTGCCAGCTTAACCACTACCAACGTGCAACTATGAAAATAATAAGAGCAAAAGGAAGGAAAAAAGAAACCCTGATACCTGCTTCTGGATCCGCTCCCTCTCAAAGGCTAGTTGCATGACTGTATCCATCATGATTTTAGTTCTTAGGTTGACTTCATCAGCAATGGCAACTTTGGAGTTATTGGCATCGTCCAGTGACATCTCCAAGTCTCTTATCTTAGCCCTCAGCAGGCTGACTTCTTTCTTAAGCTCGAAGTTGGCTTCAGATAGTTCAATACATTGCTCTTCCACACTATCAGTCTTGCTTTCTGCTTTTGAGACCTTCGATTTCAAATCTTCAATTAGAGTTTCCATATCCCATATAGCAGAATACAACATGTTCTGCTGCTCTTGACTTGCTTCCGAGGATGCCCTTGCATGCTGTAATTGTAACTCTAATTCCCTCAACTGCTTCTCAAGTACACTAACCTTCTCGGTCTTACTATTAACACTACCCTTAAGAAAATTTAACTCCTCCGTGAGTTCCAAGTTCGAGTCGTTTAACTGTGTCACTTTACCTTCTGCAGCATCCGCCCTGCTTTCAGCTGCTTCAATACCATCTTTGAGTGTCTCGACTACATGTTCCATCTCATCGATTTGATGTTGACTTGCTTCCCATGAAGCATTTGCTTCCTTCAGATGGAACCTGGTTTCTTTGAGCTGCTCCTCAAATACCTTCACTTTGTCTCTCAAATTTACAACCTCGGAGCATTTTGCGACATAATCGGCATTTAAGCTCTCAAGCTTTTGCACGATGATATTTCTACCTTTCAGCTGTTCCACTAGATCCTGAATTTTAGATATTAACTCTGCTTCACGCTGTACTGAGCTGTTAAGGTTAAATTGAATGACTTGATACTTTCCTACCAGCTCCTTGGATATACCCATCAGTATCTCCGAAGCATTATCTGCTTCTAAAAACCTTCCCCACACAACTTCTGCCGCTTCTTCCATGTGAAAAGCCACCTGTTCCGTACAATGCAGTTTCCGTTTCAGATCCTCTTCATTCTGTCTGGATTCCAACAATTTCTTCTCGAGAGCTAGCTCCCTAGCAAGAGATTTCTCCAGCATCCTTGAGACATATCTGGGTAGCTCTTTCGTTTTTGATCTAAAACTTAAATTGAAGAGTTGATTTTTGTCAGACAGATCCATAACATTGTCCTTCTCGCCTGCAAAAATATAGTTTAGGAGCAAGCAGGAATTTATCGAGGAATTTATTGGATCATCAAGATTATTAACAAAAAAGTAGATGGGTGATCACTTACTTTTCTCAG